TGATGTGATGGGAGGAAAGAAATGTTAAATGAATGGTAAGCCAATAAGCTGGAACTGGTCACTGGTGGTGGATTGTGAGAAGAGCTGGACACTGCCTAACTTCTCCTTCCTTGGTACCCCTAAAACATCAGAGGGTACTTCTGGCCTTGATTTTCTTGGTTTTGGATTTGTTTGTTTGTTTGTGATAAAAACCGTTTCTATCTGAACAAGACATAGGTCAAGAATCCTGTCCTGGGATGTGGGAAAGGCCCCCACATCTGTTCCTGTCAGGCCCCCATCAGGGGACTTGGATGATGTTCCTGTTATCTGCTCAAGAGCCCAAGGCTGTAAAAATACTTGTTCACTGAAAAGGTGTAAGTGTAAATGTTTATTTGATGTTTATAAGCATCTCTGTTGTTTACTGGGAACTTTGATTTTCTATGTGATATTCTGTGCTGGGTTGGAATTTTGGAATTCTGGAGTAATTTAAAACGTATTTTGTGGCTTTTCTAGTAACATTTAAGGATGGGGCTCACAGTACCTCAAGGCAAAGACTTAATGGGCCCTTCCCCCTGCCTGTGAAGGAAGACAATGGGCCTTGAAATCTGTAAAGATAGGCAAGAATGAAGCTGGTCAGGCCCCACCCCCTATCATTCCTGACTTTCTTGCTGCAAGAATTGTCTCTTTCCTTGAGAGGGCTCCAGAGGGCGCACGAGGACATTTGGCTGCGCCTCGGCGCCACCCAGGCAAAAGGCACCTCCTGGAGCCGCGATGGAAAGGTCCCTACACCCAACTCCGTGGTGCTGACGACCCCCACCACTCTCAAGATAGACGGCGTCGTGACCTGGGTCCATCACACCCACGTCCGGTCAGCGGACCCATCCATGATCCGGAAAAACTTCGTCATCAATCGAGAACAATGCAACCTGCTCAAGCTACGGCGTGCTCGACCTGCCTGATGCTGGTAACATTGAATAGACTTAGATAATGCCTGCGTCTTCATGGACATGGCTCCAAAAAGACAAGGACAATTCATAGGAAGGTCAAGAATAGACTTTAATATCACATGTTTAGTAGCAGAAGATGTGGCTGCCTAAAGCGGCCATGATGCCTATATTATGTTTCATTGTATTGATGTGTTATATTGACCTTTAATTCTCTTGCAGGTTTGAATGTATGTTGGCTGTCCTGGAAGGGTACTATGTGGGGTGAACCCCAAAAAGTAAAGGGTGCCTAGCTGCCAAGAGGGCAGGTGCCCACCTGGGCAGGGAACAGTGCCCATCAGGTTTTGGTCTCTGTTGAGAGACAGCTAACAGTTGGCAGCCTGTGTACTGCTTGCAGGCCTTTGTGACCATGCCCATGTCAGGGGTAGTCTGAAAAAAGCCTGTTTAGAGTAGAAGGTCTGAGGCATGGTTATGCATAGAAAGAAAGTTTAATGCCAACAATTAAAAGGAATTGGCAAGGAAAGTCAGAAAATCTTAGAGTAGATCAGTATGTCTTTCTTCTTATGTAATTCCTCCGAAATTTAACAATGCTAACATGGCAATACATTTCTTTGCATAGATTCAATAAGACCGGTTCCTAATAGTGGTTTTATTAACGGAAAACTTTGACTGGAGTATCATATTTTAAAGAGCCCTGTCTGAGCTCTAAAGACTTGAAGCCAGTAAAAATGCCACGAAGAAAGCCTGATATTCTGCTTGGAAGCCCTGAAGATGGCTGGCGCTGAAGTGTCAGGCCGATGCCCTACCATCACTGGCGGTTGGTAAGAGTAAAAGGGGAGCAGTAGGGATGCCTCTGCATTCCTGCGGAGCCCCCACACACTCTGGGCCGCAACAAGTAGGAGGGCTACTGAGATGGGCCTTAAAACCTGGAGCGTGGGCTCAGGTGGAGTTGCTACAGGTGAGGGATTCACCTAACTCAGCAGATACTGCAGGCGGGCCTGATGGCAGCTGGATGGCGTGGCTTCCTGGCCCTACGGGGCACATTAAGATTCAACCATGAGATTCCAGCAAAGGTAGTCAGTCACCATTCTTGTTGTGTTTATGCAAACATCAGGACAGTAGATAAATTAATCTTGATTTGGCTTTTTAATAGCCATGGAGGAATTTTAAGAAGAAAAATCCTATTTCAATAAAAGTTGTTAAAGCTAAAATGATTTCTTCCCCTTCCACCAGACCATTTGTTAAGATATGCCCAGTACGGGCCTCTAACAACGGTGGAATGGAAGTGCAGTCCGTCTCATGATTGAGCCGGAAGTTCCAAGACAAAGGGGGGAATGAAAGGGCGAAGGCTACGCCCTCCACCTTCCCCCAGGGTAAGGGCTACGTCCTCCATCTTACCTTGGCCACGTGTTGGGCAAGGAGCTTCTTCACGGAAGTCTAAGACTCTGCTAGCCACACCCAGGAACGGGACATTGACTTGTGTCTGGCCAATCGGCAAAGCACAGTCCTTTCTCCTCCCTTACTCCAACCCCCCCCTATATAACCGGTCTCTGGGAGGGGTTCGGGCTCTCTCTTGGCCACTTGGCTAGCCGATGTGTCGGTGGGTCTGGTGGATGGAGAGCTCAAGCTAGCTTGAATACAGATTCTTATGCTTTTACATCGAATTGGCTCCCTGATGTGGTTTCTTGGGAATCTTGTAATCTGGGCATAACAATATAGGCAAAAATCACAAAGGTATTGATTACATCCCAAGGTTTGGAATGAGGACCCTGGTTTGCACAAAGCAGTTACAGAAGCGAGATTGAGCTGATTAGTTATCTACAAAGATTGTTTATAGTTTTGGGTCTTTGGACCTCTGAGTTGACAGAAACATTATTTAGAGCCCTCGGGTCTTGGGTCCACTGAGTTGACAGGGAACGCACCATCTGTGGACACTAAAACAATTTAGGGTAATTGTGCTGTCCTGTTTCCCAGGTACAGAAGAATGTGCTTCCATAACCAGTAAGATCACAATCAATGGGATAGTCATTCAATCAATAAGGCATTCAATCGAATGGGATGATTTATACAATTCAGAAAATCAAAATAACCTGTCCATTGTTAAACAAAGCAAATAGGTACCATACTTCAAGTGACTGAGTCACAAGTGAGAAAACCTAACCACCTACTTGTATTTTCCATGTCAGGAACATTTTCTCTCTTTAATTAAAAATGCCTTTTAAATTGTGTTAGGTCGGAGAGAGCCCAGGATTGGATACATGCAGATGTGTGATGAGATAATGGACTCCCCCTGGCATTTCTAACAGATCAGCGTGCCAGACACAGATACTGGCTTCTCCCTGAATCAACACCGACCCCCACACAGATACTGACTCCTTCCTGAATACCTTGCTGACCCCCTGCAGCTAAAACTTCCTCAGCTGAATACCTCAGCTCATGTCCCCGCCCCTCACCCAACCGCAGTATAAAAAAAGTGCCCCCCTCCCTGTTGGCGTGAATCCACGTGCCCTGTCCTTGGGGGTACGTGGGTCTCCCGGGGACGCAGAATAAACTTTCCTTCCTTCCTTTTCTGATCAACTTTCTTTATTTCCTTCGCCGCCTCCTGAGCCACCCAACCTAACAAATTGTTTTTTAAATTCTTTTAAAACATGTGTTGTTGTTTTTTTTACATGTTGTTAATCCTCACCCAAGGATATTTTCCCCATTGATTTTCAGAGAGAGTGGAAGGAAGGTACAGAGACAGAGAGAAACATGGATGTGAGAGAGACACATCCATTAGTTCCCTCCTGCAGGTGCCTGCCCAGGGGCTGAATGGAGCCTACAACCAAGGTGGTGCCCTTGACCTGAATGGGACTCATGAGCTTTCAGTCCAAGGGCTGATGCTCTTAACCACTGAATAAAGCCAGCTAAGGGCTAAATATATTTTTATTGTCATAGAGGAAGGCAAAGGGAGAGGGAGATAGAAATATCAATGATGAGAATCCTCCAGGGCTGCCTCCGCCCCCTAATGGGGATCAGTCCGCAACCCTGGCAAGTGCCCTGACCGGGAATCAAACTGTGACCACCACTGAGCCACACGGGAGGGTATGTCAGGACCATTTTTTAAAGTTAACCATTCTTCCCAAGCGGCGTGGCTCAGTGGTTGAGCGTTGATGTATGAACCAGGAGGTCACAGTTCGAATCCTGATCAGGGCACATACCCGGGTTGTAGGCTCAGACCTCAGTGTGGGGTGTGCAAGAGGCAGCTGATCAATGACTCTCTCTCATCAGTGATGTTTCTGTGAGATCCATGCCGAAAGGAGCCAGGCCAAGAAACGTTGTGAGAGAAACTTTATTACCTTGTCTCACAGCGGCTGAGACTATTTTGTGGGTGTCAGCCGGGCAGAGTAGGGCGAGCGGGATATTTATGTCTCTAGTGAAGGTCAGTCAGAGTAACCAGTCGGACCAGGTGCAGGCGGTCCGCTGGGAACTGGGTGAGGCGGTTTACTGCAAACCGAAGACTGTTATCATGAAACCTACAATGAGAATGATAGGAAAATCGCAGGGAGGGGCAAGAGCCCCCAGCAGGGAACAAGGGAGTGCAAGAATGTGCCTAACAGTTTCTATCTCTCCCTCTCCATTCCTCTCTGAAATGAATACAAATATATATATATTAAAAAGTCAACCATTCTAAATATCCAGAAGTCACCTTTATTTTTTCCACGGAAAGGATGGCTTGTTTTTGGTTTCAATGCTCTTTTTGGGAATCTGACTGTAGTTCTGGAAAGATACCCACCTAATGCATCCCTACTACCTGAGCCTGTGCACCTTTTTGTAAATCCACAAGTCAGACTCCAGTGTCAACAAAGATGAAAATGGAGCCAGATTCATTAGGTGCCTTTTAAGTGTGTGTGTTTGCAAGGAAGGACCACTGTTCCCTGGGGACTCTCAGCGCTGCCTCTCAATGCAAATGTCCCTGGACAGGAGATCTGGCTGCTTTGGCCTCAGGCCTGTGCACCTCAGGCGCTAGGGGGCGATGTCGTGAGAAGTGTCGGTCATCTGAGCTGGGCGCCAGGTGGGTGGGGCTATTGGGAGCGGGTGGGGGCACCTATAGCTGCAACCGCGCAGAAGGCCTGCTGGCTGCGGCTGAGATCCGGCCGGCACTTTCCTTGCCCTTAAAACCCTAAGATTGCTCTGCCCTCTTGTGTGGAGCTGCGATCTGTAAGGTGGTGGGAGCTGCAGGCGGGACTCGGGAGGCCCAGGAACTAGAAATGGTGAGTGTGCGGCCGGGCGCGGAGACGGGGAGGAGGGGCGGGTGGAGCCGCCGTGGAGGGACCGTCTCTCCACGGTCAGGTCCGGAGCCTGCGGACCCGAGGCGCCGGGGGCTCCGCTGAAACTGCAGGCCCCTCGGGCTCGCAGGGTGGGGCCCAGCCGGGACCCGGGCGTCCAGTGTGTCCCCGCGGCAGGGCCTTGGGCTGCGGAGCGCGTCTGGGCAGCTCTGCACCCTCATCCCCGCGGCTCCGCAGTCGGTGCGGTGACCACGTGGAGGGTCATGGGGGACAATGGTGACCCGGTCCCCGCGGTTCGTGCACGGGAGGAGCTGTGGTCTGTGGGGCCCCCTGTCCCTCCTTTCTACCCAGAAGGACCCCGTTTTTCTCCGGAGTTTAGATGTTTGTGGAGCAGGCTCTCAAGTGCACCCCCTGTCCCCCAGGCCTAGCTCTGCAACACGTGCCTGCATTTCCAGTCTCTCCCCCGAATCCTAACCGCCATCTTCCCTTCTCTGAGTCACAGCATCTTTATCGGCTATTTATTTTTGTGGTGCTTTTCAAACTGTTAAAAAACAAAATTCAACTGAATAAAATTGGAAGGTCTAATTGGCTTGATTCCCCATTCACGAATCGGGCTGCATCCCATCTAGTAAATAGAATCTCAGAGCAGCTGTTCACAATGGAAGGCGTTTACAATTGGCAGAAAGGAAGGGGCTTTGAGGGCTTATTAGTAAAAGAAAAGAGGGGATTGCTTCAGGCAGGGTCACCCTTCCTTAGGGGAAGGAACAGCAGGAGTCTTTCTACAGATTAGTGTTGAACAGCAAGTTGCAGAGTGACTGGGTTAAAATTTTACTCCTGGGAGAGGTGAAACTGCAGTTACATACAGTCCTGCACCCCTGAACCTGGGGAGGACATCCTGAGGCAGTTTTGTTGTTTTCAGTTCTCTTACACAAACCTGCATGGTGTAGCCTGCTACACACCTAGGCCATATGGTGTAGCCTGTGAGTCCTAGGCACCAAACCTGTACAACATGCTTCTGTACTGAATGCTGTAGGCAATTGTAATGCAATGGTAGGAAGCATTTATGAAAAGGTGCAGTGAAAATGTGGTGTGCAAGGTAGAAAATGGTACATCCGTGTGGGGCACTGACCCTGAATGGGCTCCAGGACTGGAGGGTTCTCTGCAGGAGTCAGTGATTGGTGAGTGAATATGAAGGACTAGGACGTTACTGTGCAGGACTGTAGACTTTATCACACTGTACACTTAGGCCAGGAAATTTAGAAAACAACAGATTCATCAAGCCCAGGAGGCAATGATGCAATCAAAAGGCACAGTCGCCCTGACCGGTTTGGCTCAGTGGATGGAGCATCGGCCTGCGGACTGAAGGGTCCCGGGTTCGATTCCGGTCAAGGGCATGTGCCTTGGTTGCGGGCACATCCCCAGTGGGGAGTGTGCAGGAGGCAGCTGATTGATGTTTCTCTCTCATCGATGTTTCTGGCTCTCTATCCCTGTCCCTTCCTCTCCGTAAAAAATCAATAAAAATATATTAAAAAAAAAAAAAGGCACAGTCAACACAAGACCTCTGAGGTTGCTGCCTGCATAAAACAGCATATTGTTGTTGTTGTTTTTAAAAAAAGAGCATATTGTTCAACAACAAACTTTTTTATATTTTATTTCTCACCCCAGGATATTTTTTCCCCATTGTTTTCTAGAGAGAGTGGAAGGGAGAGAGGAGTGGAAAAGACACAGAGAGAGAAACATTGACTGAGAGAGACCCATCAATTGGTTGCCTCCACATTTATATTATTCCCCGGGGAGAAGAGAGTGTTGGAGCTTCACTCCCGGGGCTGCTCAGGTGTCCCTCGCTCCTCCCCCAGGGACTGGCCCACTCCGGGGGTGCTTTCTGTCTCAATCTGGAGAGTACAGCATGTGGAACCTTCTGAAAGTGGCTCCCCTTCTGTCCTGTGGGGAGCAGGCTGCTCATCTGAGCTGAATCCAATGTATGTGTTTCTTTCCTTTGGATCCTTTATCCACCGAATAGTGCAGCCTTTGAATCTAGTTTCCCTGAGAACTTGGATTCTGACAGTATCAGTTAATTGAAGGGTACAAGGTGAGAAATCAAGGAAATTATAAAAGCAAATAGTTTTTTCTTTTTCTTTTTTTTTTTAGGCTATAGAAACTCAAGATGTGTGAAGAAGGTATTTAAGTTTTCAGGCACATTTTTACTACTTTTAGATCAGTGTTTGTCTGGGCATGTCTTTAGAGACCTCTAACATTTAAAATGGTAGCAACTGCATTTTTATTTTAATTGATGTGAGGACAACTATTAAAAGCTTATGTAAAGCTCTGAAACGTCAATATATTTTAGTAGCTAAACTCATACCCCTATTGCGTTGTTGAATATGTTATTTATTCCTGAAAATACCCCTGGGGTGAGACATAGAGGAAAGGCAAACTAGATGAATATCCTCTTAGTTAGCAAGAAATTTGGAAATTTACATTTTGTATGGCTTATACCTATTATTATAACAGTCTGTACCTATTATTATTTAAAGGAATTAAAGCCTAGAATGGTTCCCTAAGTACAAGAGATAAAAATAAAGAATATGAATTTCTACATTTAAAAAAAATAAATCTGCAGGCCCTAGCTGGTTTGGCTTAGAGGATAGAGCATTGGCCTGCTGACTGAAGGGTCCCAGGTTCAATTCCAGTCAAGGGCACATGCCTGGGTTGTGGGCTTGATCTCCAGTAGGGGTCGTGCAGGAGGCAGCTAATCAATGGTTCTCTCTCATCATTGATGTTTCTATCTCTCTCTCCCTCTCCCTTCCTCTTTGAAATAAAAAAATATATATATTAAAAATAAATAAATAGCCCTAACCAGTTTGGCTCAGTGGATAGAGCGTCGGCCTGCAGACTCAAGGGTCCCAGGTTCTATTCCGGTCAAGGGCATGTATCTTGGTTGCGGGCACATCCCCAGTGGGGAATGTGCAGGAGGCAGCTGATCGATGTTTCTCTCTCATCGATGTTTCTAACTCTCTATTCCTCTCCCTTCCTCTCTGTAAAAAAATCAATAAAATATATTTAAATAAATAAAAAAAAATGAGTCTGCAGGATAGAAAAGTCCAACTTAAGACTCGCTGCCCACATATGCTGGTCCCTCCAGCACTTGTTACTCCAGTCCCCTCCAATACAGTTTTGATCATTTCTTAGCAAACATCCCAGTGTATACCAAGTCTAGCCACTACCCCTGGATGCTCGCACACCTTTGTGGTGGGGCAGAGCCTCGGGAAGTCCTCAGGATGAGGCCAGCAGTTTATCAGGTGCAAACAAACCAAAATTTGGCCATGTGAAGGGAGGACTCTGTACAGGTGGTGCCTGGGAAGGAAAAATGGCCCCAGACCTAGAGCCACACAACTCAGTCTGTGCCAGATTCTCCAGGAACCTGATCTCTGCAGGACAGAGCCACCTAGAGTCAGAAGGGTGGGGCTAGGGAATCTCCCTTGAGGGGGGAGGTGCCCATCAAGCTTTGGGGAAGGTGGGTGGAGTGGCCCTCAGCCCTGCACCTGGATTCTGCTCAGACCCCTGAAAGGTGGAACCACCAGGAGTCGGGGGGGTGGGGCTGCATGGAGCCCAGAGAGTGGGTTTAGGAGATCTCTCCTGAGCGAGGCACAGTCAGGTTCACGGACACTGTGGGGAATGACCCCTGCCTCAGAGCCACACAACTCAGTCATTGACACCTTAGAGCCTGCACAGACCTCTACACCCCGCCCAGGCAGCTGACTCCCCAGCAAAGCCCAAGCTCCACAGGGTTTTTCTTGCCTTGTGATAAGCAGCTGGACTAGGCATTTTTTGGTGGTTGCCTGCTGACAGCTTGAGCCTCAGCCGCTCTTGTCCCTATTGCCTCGCACTTGAACAAGCTGATAAGAAAGCCTGGGTCATGTCTCCTATAGAGCAGGCAGGTGATTCCAACCACAGAATCCCTGCCTGTGCAGAACTCTTGCCCCGGACCCATCTTTGAAGCCCCACATGACCACACCAGGCTCTATTTCTGGCTCTGAAGCCAGGTCTCAGCTGCTTGAGAGGCCACCCCGGCCCTCCTTTGAGACCTCTATGTGAGTCCTAAGGCTTGTCCTGCTCTCCTGGTGTGGGTGTGAGGGGCGTGACACACCAGCATCACTCACATCCACACCTGTGCAGATGACCCTTTGAACTTGCTGCCAGGAATAGCACATGCCAACATTACCAGCCATGTGGGTCTGACTTCTGTTTCTCAAACTTGCTGACCTGTGGGAACTTTGCTGTCCCATGTGGCATTGGTGAGCCTGTTGTGCCTCAATTCTATGTTCCAGAGTGGGAGCTTTCATGCATTTCTAGGCAACTGGCAGGCAGAGTATGGTATTGGGCCCTCTTTAATGTGGTCCTGATGTCTTTGCCAGAATTTATCTGTGTGTTGGAGTGAAGCTGAGACATACTCCAGGTATGAGGGTTGAAGAGGGTGAGTACACCTGTACAAGAGGTGCCAATCAGGTGGTCACTTCTGAAAGAGCAGTTATTTAAATAGAGAGAAAGAGAAGAGAAGGAAAGGCAGCCATTCCACCCCTCTAATACCAGAAGGCTCCCCAGGACTCTTAGTACCTCTACTGCTGCTGCCCCTGTCTTTACTGCAACACAGATCCTGACCCTCAGGGTTCAGGGGACAAACCCATGGCCTCACTGTGGTACAGCCTCACACCTGACTTAACTCCAGGGTCTTTATGTTATTTTATTTAAATGTATTTTTATTGATTTCAGAGAGGAAGGGAGAGGGAAAGAAACATCAGTGATGCGAGAGAATCATTGGCTGCCTCCTGCATGGCCCCCTACTGGGGATCAAGCCTGTAACCCAGGGCATGTACCCTTGACCAGAACCGAACGCAGGACCCTTCAGTCTGCAGGTTGATGCTCAATCCATTGAACCAAACCGGCTAGGGCAACTCCAGGTTCTTTAAAACTTGCAAAGCAACTAC